ACAGACAGGTGGTAGCATAACATTACTAGGAGTTACTTATAAGACTCCTTGTGTGGTGCTGTAAGATCAGCACTGAACTGTGAAGCACAAGATCAGCAGTTCAAACCTACCAACTATTCATTGGAGACCCTATACAAGCTCGCTATCAATCGGAACCAACTTGACATCTACCAAGACACCTCTGAGTGGGTTCATGCTGCCTACCTTTCAGCTAGTAGCCAAGTGCTTAACCATTTACACCACCTAGGAACTCCTTATGTTAGAGCTCTTCAAATGCCATCTGAACCTGGACTTGCTGGGATTCTGGTTCATATAAAACAGGGACAAAGGGAACCAAAAAGGTTAGCCATTTGGAAATGCCTCTTCAATGGTCTATTGCAAAACTCATGCTGAGTCATACAAAGACATGGTGGCCATTGGAGAAAGGGAGGGATGCTAGTGAGAGCAGGGAATGGACAGAGGGCCCAGCTCCTTATAGCTCAGCTTCTCATGTAAGACTACATTCAGGCTGTAGCAGGCAGCTCACATTTTTCCAGTTAACTTGCTCCAGACAGGCTTGGACAGCAGGTGGCCCTAGGGCTACACATTGAACTTTCAGCCTGACAGGCAATCATGTTTGAAAACAAAACAAACAAACAAACAAGCAAAAGAAACAAAATTAAGATGGGAGTTATTCAGCCACCTTAAGGACCCATTAATGTGTACCTTCAGGTATTTTTTGCAGCAAACTTTGCTTATGTGGACCAAAGTTACAGAGGTGGGAGAAATAGAGCCAGACAACCCTGCTGTGGCTACCCCATCAGGGAATATAATTACAGACTTGGAAGAGCCTTAGAGATAACTTAATCCAGTGATATTCATACTGTGATCTGAGAAGCCTAGAGGTTTTAGGGACTACCCCAGGGGACAGGGTGAGCCTGATAAGAAACCCCATCTTCAAATAGAGCAGTTTCTTTTTCATCTGACTTCTATGTTGGGGTCCATATAGGATTTCTTTTGGGAAAAGATAGTGACAAAAATAATAATTAAAAAAAAAAATGCTATTGAATAAGTCTATCCTTCTCATTTTGTAGAAGCAAAAACTCAGGCTCAGAGAGGAGATAGGTGTGCCCATCATCACAGTGTCTAGAGGAGGCAACAGTCCAAACCTACCAGGCGGTATGAGCTAGATTCCAGAGATACTCCATGGTCAGCATTTTTGGCCTCACCTCTTAATATCCTGTGTAGAGACTCTCTCACCATGGCCCGTTATCAGAATTTGAGGTGGTTCAATTTGTAAATCCTCATACATATGCCCACAAGCTTCTACACAGAAGTGTCTGTTCAACTCTTTCCTCTAACTCCCCAGCCAGGCCAGGCTTCTTACTCTTCACATCCTTCAGTGGCTCGGTGTCATTCTTCCAAGGGGGCTGCCTCCCTGCCTTACTCTGCTATCCATCTTCCATGGAATCATAGATTCCAATTTTATGAAATAGGCTCCCAGTGGCCTCTTCTCACTTTATCTAGAGTTTCAAATTAAGTTCAAGGCAGTGAACGTACAGATCCCAGTTGGCTACACCAAGGCTATACCCCAAGGATGGGTTTCAGGTCACTCTAGGGCAATAGAATGGCTTCCCTCCTTACAGCCTTAGAAATTCCTTGTATGCTAGCCTCCTCCTCTTTACAGTCTACCCTCTTCCCCTTCTTCCATGTATGCTAACTCCCTCCTCTCCTGGGAAATTATCTCTGCAGGAGCCAAGGCAGATGGTCAGTGGAGCTGCTGGAGTGCCTGGTCAGCATGCAGAGCAGGCACCCAGGAGAGGGAGAGAGAGTGCAACAATCCTGCCCCAGAGAACGGAGGTGCCACATGTCCAGGGAAGAAACTGCAGACACAGGCTTGCTGAGGATCTCTAGGTACAGACTGGAACCGATGCTGCAGATGTCAACACCAGCACTGGCTATTGGATAAAGATTCATTCAGCTGAGAGAACATGCAAATCAACATAGACTTTCTTTCTTTGTCCTCTCTTTTCCCAGGGCTAAAACCAGGACATGTAACTACAGTAAACTGTTGTATCACTCACAAAACTCAACAATGAGGTGTTGAGTGTTAAGTAGGAGCTTGATCCTGCTCTTGACACTTTGAAGAACCCAAAAGAAGTGAGGAGAAAACTCTTAGGAGAACTTAGAGTCTGTTGAAGGGAAAAGTCAGGCAGACAGTTTTGACACAAAACGTAATAAAACAAAACATGATGATCTTAATTCTGTGATCACAATATCTGTTTATTCATAGAGCCACTATTAATTGATAGAATAAGATCAACTCAAACCAAACTCATTGCTGTCAAGTCAATTTTGACTCTGTAGGACAGAGTAGAATTATCCAATATGGTTTCCAAGTCTGTAATATTTACAGAAGCAGACTGTCTTATCTTTCTCCCAGTAGCTAATGGATTCAAACTGGCCACCTTTTGGTTAGCAGCTAAGACTTTATCCACTGAATCACGAAGGCCCCTAGAATAAGACAGACAGATTGAAACGATAATAAAAAAAATTAAAGAAAGATGTGCGTTCCTTCCGTTTTCTTTCATTTGGACTCAATATTTTCTTCTATTCTGTCTATTGCTTGAGTTCTTAAATCAAATGTCATTTTCCTCATTTATTTTTTCTTGGCCACTCTATTCTTTTCCTTCCTTACATTTTTCATAATTGTAATTATGTTTAGTACCATATTTCCTGTAATTATTTTTTTACCTGTCTCCTCTCAATAGATGGTAATCATGAAGGCACTGGTTACATGCATCCCCATAAGCCAACACAGTGCATTGAATATGACAAGGAACCTACTAAGCATTGATTGATTAAGTAAACTGAATGAACTCAAGAGTCTAATAATTATACAGGGCATTGTCTGACCTCTGGATTTGCAAGGAGGGAGGAAAATCAAAGTCAACATCAGCCCTGTGGATACCTGTGAAGATACCTGTGAAGCAGAAGTCAGACATGCCAATACCCTCCACCCTTCCTTACCAAATCTGACACCAACCATTCCTCTGAGAACACTTTCTACTTCTCTGCTGGATTTGGTAATTATTTGCATTGGCCAAAGAGAATTCATAGCACATATTCATTGTTATGGGATTTATCAGGAAATAACTGGTTACAATTCAGGATGAGGAACAGAACAGCCTCCTCTCAGCAATTCTCACATGAAACCCAGGCCCTCAGACTTATGGTCTGCTTGGGCACGTGCTACAATGTTCTTTTAGCTCTCAGATCTCATTCTAGTGACCTCTTGTCTTCTGTCCTGCTCAGGCAAGTATAGATTGGCCGATGAAGTACCCAATCTTACAGTAAATCGTGGCTTGAAGACACTCAGTTCTAGCAAATTTAGTTTCTCCCCACCCTCATTATCATTAATATCACAGACAAGTAAAATTTTGCTGAAGATCTTTCAAATTTGATTGCATCAGTACACTCACAAGGAGCTGTCAGAAATTTAAGCCAGATTCCGAAGAGTATTTGGAATGAGGGATATCATTGCTGATATCAGATGAATCTTGGCTGAAAGCAGAGAATACCAGAAAGATGTTTACTTGTGTTTTAGTTACTATGCAAAGGTATTTGACTGAATCATAACAAACTATAGATAACATCGTAAAAAATGTGTATTTCAGAACTCTTAATCATACTCATGAGGAATCTGTGCATGGACCAAGAGGCAATCATTAGAACAGAACAAGAGGATAAAGAATGTTTTAAAATCAGGAAAGATGTGTATCAGGGTTGCATCCTTTTGCCATATGTATTTGTTCTATATGCTGAGTAAATAATCTGACATGCTGGGTTATATGAAGACGATAGTGGCATCTGGATTGGAGGAAGACTTACTAACAACCTGTGACTTGCAGATGACACAGCCATGCTTGCTGAATGTGAAGATTTAAAATACTTACTGATGAAGATCAAAGACTTCAACCTTCAGTGTGGATTGCATCTAAATGTAAAGAAATCAAAAATCCTCACAACTGGACTAACAAAAGCCATCATGATAAATGGAGAAGGGATTGAAGTTGTCAAAGACTTCATTTTGCTTAAATACACAATCAGTGCTCATGGAAGCATCAGTCAAGATATCAAATGGATAGAGTATTAGGCAAATCTGTTGTAAAGGATCTCTTTAAAGTGTTCAAGAGCAAAAATGTCATTTTGAGGACTAAGGTGTGCCTGACTCAAGTCATGGCATTTTCAATGACCTCATAGGCATGTGAAAACAATGAATAAGGAAGACAGGATAAGAATGAAAGCATTTGAATTATAGTGTTGATGAAGATTATTGAAGGTACCATGAATGGCCAAAAAAACAAACAGCTGGTAGTTTTGAGCTGCTGGCCTTGAGCTTAGCTCTCCAACTCATAAGCAGCAACTCATTGACATAAGATGTTTGATAATATCAAAGAAATTTTCATGATTTTCCCCCTCTATGAAAATTTCTTTGATATTATCAAACATCTTACATCATTAAGTTGCTGGGCCTGGGGGTTCAGAACACAGACTCAGGGGACACTGTGGTCAATTGGCATAACATAACTACTTTAGTATGTATCGAGTCAACTCTTCAAAACCCATGAGCAGCCATGTAAGGTGCAACTATCAGTCTCCCATGTGCAGAAGAAAGAACAGTGAAGAAAATTTGAAGATGGCTAGTCCAATGGAACATATGATCATCAGTCACCATGAGTCTGAGACCAGAAGGACTAAATGGTACCAAGCTACCACTACCAACTGCTGTAAAAAGAATCACATTAGATGTTCCTGGATAGATTGAAAGAAAATATGGAACAAACTCAAAATTAGAAAGAAAAGACTGGGCTTACTGGTCAGAAAGAGATTGAAGAAACCTGAGACTATGGCCCCTGACCACTCTTCAGATCTGGAACAGGAATCACCCTTATGGATCAGTTCTCAGACAAGTAGTAGATAGATATGTTTTTCTTGTTATTAAGTGTCATTGAGTTGGTTCCCTAGGAGTGGCTGGTGAGCTTGAACCACAGACCTTTCTGTTCAAATGACTTTGCTGTCTGGTACATTAACCCACAACATCACACTGGGATTCCCAGATAGGTATGTGGAGTGTGTGTGAGGGGGGCAACATTAGTAAGGTATGTGTCCCATGGAATGGTTAACCATTCAAGATCAAAGGGTCAATAGTTACAGAAGGACAAAGTTGTGAAGGGATGGGAAGGAGGGTAGAATGGAAATAAGAACACAAGGAGGAAATTGAGTAACTGTTGTAACATGAAGGGGACTGCAGTCATTGAGATGAAACAAAGTGTATGATTTGTTGACTGTAAAACTGATGATCGCTGTAAACTTTTGCTCAAAAAAAAATAATAAGGGAGAGAGAGACTTTTTGTATCAGATTTTCAGATTTCAGATTTGTATCAACACACACACACAAAAATAGTAGCATATACTGCTAGAAGAGCAAATACATTTGTTTCAGAAGAAGCACAGCCAGAATATTCCTTAGAAATGAGGATGGTGAGACTTCATCTCTCGTTCTTTGGATATGTTATTCAAGAGAGACCAGTCCCTGGAGAAGGACACCATGCTTTGCAACACAGAATGTCAATGAAAAAGAGTAAGACTCCAACAAGATGGACTCAAACATGACATCAATTGTGAGGTTTGCGCAGGACCATGCAGTATTTCATTCTGTTGTGCATATGGCCATTATGAGTAGGAACCAACTCGGTAACACCTAACAACAACAACAATCCTTCCAGAATCCTTGATCTTGTTACAGCAATAAGAAGACACATATACATGAAGCAATGGCAGATAGTTGTAATGTTATAGGGAATTAATTGCTGAGTTAAGTGGCACACAAGTGAAGTGTTGAAAGAAATCAGGTAGGAGAGAGGTTTACCTGCCAATAAATGTATATTTCATTAATGTCATGAAGATTGAGCCAGGTCTTAAAAATTGTTTTTGAACTAGGCAGAGATGGTGGAAGAGACATTGGGAGATAGAATATGTAGCATAAAACAAAGTTTGAAAATGAGAAAGAATATTGGTATGTATGCATAGAGGTTAATGTGTTAGCAGTAGGGAGAAGTGAAAGCAAAAAATGTAAATAAAATAAAATTAATTATTAAACATTCAATTAAATGCATGACACATAGTAAATTATTAAGTAATAATAAGAAAAAAAACAGGTGTTAATGAGTCAATTCCAACTCATGATGACCACTATGTCAGAATACAGCTGGATCCACAGAGTTTTCAGTGATTGATTTTTAGAAGTAAATCACCAGGCCTTTCTTCCGAACCACCTCTGGGTGGACTTAATCCACCAACCTTTGGATTCTCTGCTGAACATGTTAACCAGTTTCACTGCTCAGGGAATCTTGAATTATGAGCATCACCCTTATTGTTATTGCAGTGATTAATTAAGGGATATAGTTCAGAAGTGGTTACAAATTGGGCTGCAAACCACAAGGTCAGCAGTTTGAAACTACCAGCTGCTCCATGGGAGAAAGATGAGGCTTTCTGCTCCTGTAAAGATTTACAGCCTTGGAAACCCTGTTCAGGGTCGCTATGGGTCATAACCGACTTGACAGCACATTACAACAATAAAAATAGTTCAGAAGAGTTTATTACTGAAGTCTTTAGATCTTCCTCAATCTGAAGGAAGGTGGGGGGGAGAGAACTCATTACTTTTTTACTCTGTCATTAATTTGCTTTTCACTTCTAAAAATTAATTTATTTTAGTAATTGGTTTCCATTCATTATCTACATTGGAGTCCTGGTGTGGTATCCTAGGATAAGCACTCAAACTCAAGGTCGCTTTAAACCACAAGGTCGGTGGTTCAAATGTACTAGCTTCTATGTGTTGGAA